TGTAACTAACGTGGGCTGCTAACTAACCAGCTAACTGTTAGCTCAGCCGGTTGTCCGGTACAGTCAGCTGAACATTAAGTTTACAGACATAAGCAGGCAGCCACAGACTTTAAGTTACATGTTCACGGTTCCCTTGACTCTTGAGTTCACCAGGCTGAACTGTTTGCGTTAGTTTGTCTTTTAACTTTTAATGAAGTTATCCGTTCAGTTGACATGTTGATACACAGGAATAAGGTTAATGTGAGGTCGGGTGTTACTCTTTAAGTTACATTTGACAGTTATCGTTATCTTCTCTGTGCATTTGCAGACCCGGTGCTTATTTAGCTGCGAATAATTAATAAATAAACTAATGAATAAACTTATTTATTTGAAATTAGGAGTGGGAGATATTGACAAAATCCTGTGCCACAGAAAAAGTCATCACTATGCCACAATATCAGTATGTGTAATGCAGTTTTAGGAACTGTTTATAGATAAAATAATGCTTAGTCATGTGTCTTTTTGGATAATCCGGCACACTAAATTCTTCATAAACCAAGTTTTCGTATTGATGCAGAAATTGTGCAAACATGTACATCACATCTATAACCTTGAGTCGGGCAATATCGACAGAATGAAATGATCACAGTGCTTTAGAGTTCGTTCCCTGACACTCAGTGGTGTTACACAGTGTCAGTCCTTCTTCTGCTCCTAACCGTTTGCTGTTTCTCACCCAGAGGCTCTTCGTCTGGTCGTGGAGACAGCCAAGCCCGGGGTGTCGGTGCTGAGTCTCTGTGAGAAGGGGGACGCCTACATCATGGCTGAGACTGGGAAGGTCTTCAAAAAGGAAAAGGAGATGAAGAAAGGTGAGGCAAAGACGATGTTCGTGAGTCTTGAAGTTGGGGTGAGCTGTGGTGGACCCATCAAGAATAGATGCAGTCGTGTGTTTGTGTGCGAGTCCGCCGCACCTTGATTAGCTTTAATGACGACTAACACGGTGACAGAGTGAGACAGTGTAAGTTTATAAGGTGATCCAAGAGTCACTCCCTCCGTCCTTTGTGTAGTGTTCTTGCTAAACCTGTGGATGATTTCCAAATGAAGACTTGGTGGTTCTCTCTTCCCTCTTCTAGGCATTGCCTTCCCCACCAGCGTCTCAGTCAATAACTGTGTTTGCCACTTCTCTCCCCTGAAGAGCGACCCTGACTACACACTTAAAGATGGAGATCTGGTCAAAATGTAGGCACCACGCTCTGCAACAATGTCACCCCCTCTCCTCCCCCGTGTGTCTTGACTCTCCCAGTGTTTTCTCCTCCCTTGTTTGTGATATCTGGCTTATATGTGAGGGTTTTCTCTTTGCTGTCGACTGTCTGCTTCATCAGTGAGGTCTTGTCGTCCTGTCTGTCCTGTGTGGCAAACGACAAGTAAGGTTGGACATTTTCACAACGGGCGATATGTTGGATGTTCAGCTTTTGATCCATCTGCTAAATCCAATTTATCTAAATATTCTAATGCAATGTGAAGTCAACTCATCTTAGTTGTTGTGTTGCCACGTTTGTCTTCGTCCTCTGTAATGTCTTTTGTGCTGTGTGTGGATTTGCATTGTTTTAAATATGTTTGCTACGGCTCCAGGTGATGTGGTTACACGCACGCACACACACACACAATACACGGTTTGTATGTTTCACTCACTCCAGCCAAACCTTCTGTCTGAGCACGTCTGTTCGATGTATTATAGTCTGTAGTGCTGCTCCCTTGAATGCACAATGAGTCCTTCACTGTACTTCAGCTGATGTACAGCCAAAACAAGTTCACCTTGGACTATACCTTCCTTTTAATGTAACAAATTCAGTTGTTTTATTTTTGTATGACCTTATTCGTTACTGTTTAGGCTTTATTAGACTCATTTTACAAAGTGGAAGATAGTTGACATTTGGTCCTTCCTGTGTTGGTATAATTGATTTGTTCCTCTGTCAGCATTAGTAATCTAGACAGCCGGCTGGCAGTTAAACTTGCAATGATTTGACACAATTGATTTTATTGTTGTTTCATACTCTCATCTCTTTTCCTCTTATTGTGTGTAGAGATCTAGGGGTTCATGTTGACGGCTTCATTGCCAATGTTGCTCACAGCTTTGTGGTGGGAGCCAGTAAGGTGAGGGGCATTTCTTGAAACACCGCTTTAGTCCCAGTTTTGAGTCATTTCGTTAGAGAACACCTTTAATCCCTCTTTTCGCTGTGTCTTATTTCTCCAGGAGAACCCCATCACAGGTCGGAAAGCTGATGTGATGAAAGCAGCCCATCTGTGTGCAGAAGCAGCTCTTCGCCTCGTTAAACCTGGTAACCAGGTACGTGTAACCTCTTCCTCACGGTCTTCTCCATGTCAGCGATAAGAGTCTCCTCTCTCAGGCACTTCACTGCAGATCCTCCCAATAGTTGCTCTGCTGCTCGTTGCTCTCCTGTACATCCACCAGATTAAAAAAACAGATCAGATAAATTGGCCGTGGCTTGAATAAAAGCCTAAATGAATAGTTGCCTTCAGACTGCATTTCAGCTGCTAGTGTTTTGCATTCTTAAGTGCAGTTAGCGAGCGAGTATTTTGCATGTGAACGTAATGCATTTCCTGTCTCTCAGAACACTCAAGTGACAGAAGCCTGGAACAAGATCGCTCAGTCGTTCAAATGCACGCCAATCGAGGGTGAGTGTCTCAGTAACGTTCGTGTGTCTCATGGAAAAGGGATTCAGGGCAACCATGAGAGTTTACTCTTCAGAAACTCTTCACATGTATTTGCAGATAATGACTTTTATGAATTCATAACATGCATGTGGATGTTTTCACTGAAATGGTTCAGGTTTTTTTGTTTTTAATATCCGTTTGTCTCCCTGGCTCTTTGTGTTGAAGGTATGCTGTCTCATCAGCTGAAGCAACATGTCATAGACGGAGAGAAGACCATCATTCAGAACCCGACAGACCAGCAAAGGTATATTCAGTGAGGAAGGAAATGTGAAGCGTTCTGTGGGTGTTTTTGAATTGTAGTAAACCTTCCTCACATGTTGTGTCCATTTACACAAACAGAGTGTAGATGATGGATAATGCTTGCATGTATTTATAAGTAGTGGGATTCAGTCCAAAGGAATTTCAAATATCTCACAAAATATTTATCTGTTCATTCCGTCGCACTAGTTTTTATTTTTTCCCATAGAAATAAATACCAACAGCACATAAACTTAAGATTTTTTTTCTAAGCATCTGATTGTTTTGAACATGAACAATATTATTTGAACGTCACACATTTGGTGGCTGTACATAAAATCTGCTGTATATCTGTCAACCCTCACACATACATAAAGCTTATCTGCACTGAACCACCTACAGTTCAGAGCTGTTTTGACACGTTACTGTTCTTCTTCTTATTCTTGAATATAACCATAATCAGTGTGAACTTGACCACATGAAGTTTCTCTCTCCCATATCACAAAAATACACATTTCTCACATATCCCTATCTCGCCAGGCTTTAAGTTTCAGTTTGATGTGGTGAAGTTTTCTGATCTCTGCTTGAGACTTACGCCACAGCCCCATTATAATGTAGGAATGAATGGAATTTGGTCTGTGGTGCTGAAACCAAACATTTGGAAACACTCGACAGTAAATTGTCTTTAGTGGAATACTGTAGTTGTTAAAACTATTCAGATCTGTGGATTTAAACACTAGAGTGTTTTTATCTGCCTTGACAATGAACTTCTGCTATTATTAAAATATGTTACTCATCTTTTTCACTCACTAACATTCATTATCAGGAAGGACCACGAGAAGGCAGAGTTTGAGGTACACGAAGTCTATGCTGTGGATGTCTTGATTAGCACCGGAGAAGGGAAGGTCAGTGTCCTCTTTTGTCTCGCCTCGTTACCCATAACTGCAGAAAGTTTCTGCTTCTGCTGTAGCTAATTACTTTACTGTAAAGACATCCATTGTTTTTACTCACCGTCATTTCCAATTAGGCCAGAG